GCCTACATCAAAATACGGCGACTAGCCCGAGTCTAGAGACCGAAGAGGCCGGCATCGACTGATCCAGACGGTTGGCCAGCAGCGGACTATTGAGACTCTCGTGGAACGGAAAACAGCCTCATCCATGGTTGAGCAGAATTACGACCACATAGTTGAGATGACAAGGTTGCAGCCGGAAATCCCGACAAGGACATGTAATTGCCGCATCTCGACACGTTCTTCGGATCGTGGGGGGTCGCTATCTAAATGATTGGGGGCTGGCAGCTGGAATTACTCGAGAGGCTTGCCTGCTTTGGCAGCTGAATCATCCTCGCCCTCCACATACACACGCTTGCCGTTGACACCCGCGACAACCTCATCCACGATGCTCTCGATGTAAGCCTGGTCCCTGCGAAGCAATTAGCATTTGTTTATCACGATCTGGGCGGGGCCTCGAGGGATGAGATTGAGCTAGTCCGATGCCGCCCGGGCAACGTCAGCTTACCTTCCGACCAAGGTTACGGTGCCGTTCTGCTCCCACCGAGGATAGCTGCCGACTTTGACGCCCTTCGGCTCCACCTTTGCGGCAAGCTGGGTCAGGTAACCGGCGACGGCGCTCTCCGGAAGCGGGGTGGAGATGAGCACACGGCAAAGACCCTTGCCGTCCGGATCCGTAAGCCGGGGGACGATGCCGGGCTTCAGACCGTCCAGGAGCTTCTCAACTACAGACGTGTTAGTCAGCCGCACTTTTCAACATGAGCACGCGCTTTGTCTTACAGAGCCGCGGGACGCCGGGCAGGATATGAATGTTGCCGTTGACAACGTTGACGGGAACCCAGAGGTCCTCGTGAGGGAAAAGGAACTGCTTGCTGGCGTCACGCTTCTCATCAGTGGGCAGGATGACCATGCGCAACTTGGCCTGCAGGGCGGGGGAGTCAACATTCCAGTCAAAGTTGGGCTGATTGGGGTGCGGCTTAGAGAGTCTCTTCATGCGCTCAAAGGCATCCTGGTTGAGGACCAGAGGCAGGTCGAAAGCCTTGGCTATTGACTGGTAGGTGATGTCGTCGTGCCTGCCACTGATGAGCGATGTTCAGGAGTTGCCCTTGGGTAACCTACGTCGGGCCAATCCCGCCACTATGATATCTTGTCAGCTATTGATGGCTTGAAGACTTCACTTTGGAGTGCAAACCTGGTGACGACGAAGTCGTAGCGGTCACTCATCCGCCGAACAGCCTCGACGATCTCACTCTCGTCGTCCTCAATGACTTCAACTCTTTTCAAGTTCTGTCTCCAATCAACATCACCCAGCCTTTGGGGTTCCGGAAGTCAACATACTATGCCGAGGTTGAAACACCACTTGGCCATGTAGGCCGAGTTGGTCTAGCCAATGGGTTAATACGGCTCAAGCCTTTCTGTCGATCCCACGGCGCTGGACCGCACTCACATCAACCGTCTACGGATGCAATCACGATATCAGTCACCATGGTCAGACGTAGCATTGAGCGGGTTTTGTTGCTCTCTAACCTTTCCACCGAGGACTTCATCGCCGATGATCAGACACGCCGCGGTGTGGATGGTGCGGGTGTTTCGCTCGTCGGCTGAGACCATGATTCTACGGGCAAGACCGGATACCGAAACGAAAGGCTTGACGGGCTTTGCGATTGTGTAGGCCGAGGGGAGATGGCGAGATAGCTGGGAGAGGCGGGAGAACATGGAGTTCTCTGTCTTGTTGTCAGTTGATGTAGAGGGGAGGGAAAAAAGAAGTGGTCCATGTTACAGTGAGCGAGAATGAGTTGGGATATGCAACTGGCTGCTGTTAGCTGCACCTCACACTCAAGCTGACTGGCTGAGCTGCTGCTACGTTATTGCGTCTTTTCGGGGGGAAGCTGGCAAAGGTTGATGGGTTCGCACGAATCAAATTCTCAGACGAAGCGGATACGCAGGAGTGAGAAGGAGAAAGGGACGGTAATTGGATTACATCGAATCGCGAGCTTCGTAGGAAAAGCGCGGGAATGCCGCTCTTCGGAGGTGCGCTGGGAGAATGTCGGCGTCACTGACATGGTGGGAGCTCCACGCTGCTGCTGCGGGTTGAGTGCGGTGGGTGAGGTCACAGGTGGGGCGACCCTCTCTCACAGCTCGGTGCTGGTGCTGTGCCCGCTGCTACAGTTGCTGGACAGCTGTGTCGGCTGCCCTGGCCTGAGAACGGCGGGGCGCGGGCTGGTCTCAACTGTCGCCCAACGGAGGGCGGGGGAGGGGAGACGTGGACGAGGGAGGGGTGGCTTGACTTTTCGATCTGACGTTCTTAGTGTTGCGGCTCGTACCAAGCACCGGACCTTGGACCCTGGACACCATTTGTCAACAACGCCTTCACGAGGAGCGGCACGACTCTTTTAATCAATTTCGCTTTTCGCTAGCTGTCCAACTGTAGTCCCGCCAGACACTTTGTCGCATTCCTCGAGCAATCCCGAATACCTCTCCATCACCCCGCCCCGAACCCAGAAGCCATGGTGCGCAAGCTTCCCTCTCCCCCGCTCCCCGCCATCGGCCGTGTGCCGTCTGTCTCATCCGATTCCCCGCTGACCGTTGCGTTCCTCTGTGCACTATGTAGGCGTCCGAGTCGAGGCTGTATACCTTCTCGCAGGAAACCAAGGACCACCTGCGCAAGTTCCGTCTGGGAACCTCGCGGTCGAATGACCCGCAAGCTGTCATCTGTATGTACGTCTCCGTTGCTGGTCCGAAACGGGACGCAGGCCTTTGCGATGGGAAGTGATTTGGCTAACGATGGTGGCGACCTCTTTCTCCCCAGACTACATTGACAAGAACACGCATGAGATCAAGCAGGATGACGACAAGGTTGTGTACAAGAGCCTCGAGGAGATTGGTGACGACCTGCCGGACCACAGTCCGAGATTCGTGTTGCTGAGCTACCCTCTCACACTGGTACGTTGCTCCCTGGCATGGCGCACGGAAAGGAGACGACGAGGCTAACATGCGGTGTACACAGCCCTCCGGCCGCCTGTCGGTGCCGTACGTCCTGATCTACTACCTCCCTATCACCTGCAACAATGAGATCCGCATGCTCTACGCCGGCGCCAAGGAGCTGATGCGGAATACGAGCGAGGTCGGCCGCGTGATTGACATCCAAGAAGCCGAGGACCTGGAGGAGATACCGTCCAAGCTGGGGTCTGCTGCGTAGGTGGAGGAAGCATGAGGTGGAGGAATACATACACAGAGATGCATGGCCACCGACCAACGGAGTTGATGGCATGCGATATGCACATAATACGAGCCATGAAGTCAAACACGGCATTTGCAGAAGAAAAAGGGATATCTTGATTGAACATGTGGAACTCATTAAACGCCAAGCATCCAAAAGCCTAAAACAAATTCGTTACTCTGGCAAAACCTCCTTTTCATCCAAGCCCATTTGCCTGCTCACGTTCCGCACAACCTCCTTGAACGCAACACACGCGGGGCTGTCGGGGAAGTTGTCAAAGAAGCTCTCGCCGTAGTCGCACGCGACGCCGATCCGCGGATCCAGCGGCACGCTGCCCAAGAACGGAATGCCCATCTCCTGCGCCAGCGCGCGGCCGCCGCCGGTCGTCGCGCGAAAGATCTCGCTCTGGTTCGTGCACTTGGGGCACACGAAGCCAGCCATGTTCTCCGCGAGGCCGAGGATGCGGATGCCGGCCTTGCGGCAGAAGTCGATTTCCTTGCGGACGTCGAGCAGCGAGACTTCTTGCGGCGTGGTCACGACGACGGCGCCGTCGATGCCCGAGTCGCGCAGGAAGGTGTTGACGGAGAGGTGCTCGTCCGAGGTGCCAGGGGGCGTGTCGACCAAGAGAAAGTCGAGGTCGCCCCACTCGACGTCCTTGAGGAACTGCTTGATGAGGCCGTTCTTCTTGGCGCCGCGCCAGATGATGGCGGCGTTGCGGTCGGGCAGCATGAACTGGATGGACATGACGCCGAGGTTGTCCATGACCCAGACGGGGGACCAGCCGGCGCCGGAGACGTGGATGGTCTCGGCCTCGACGCCGAGCATCTTGGGGATGGAGGGCCCGCAGATGTCGGTGTCCATGATGCCCACCGACGAATCCTCGTTGGTGGCGAAGGCCTGCGCGAGGAGGGTGGTGAAGGTGGACTTGCCGACGCCGCCTTTGCCGGAGAGCACGAGGATCTTGTGGCGGATGCCGGAGAGGCGGGCGGAGATGAGGGGGATGTCGGGGTCGGGCCCGGTTTTGGCGGTCGCGGCGCAGATTTGCTGGTTGGGGCAGCCGTCGCAGGAGGAGGCGGTGCCGGCGGTCGGGGCCTCGGGACCGGGGCAGTGTTCTGGTTCCGGGGCGACGAGTTGGGGGGCTTGCTTTTGGGGGTTGGCGAGGACGTCGAGGGTTGAGGCGTCGGTGTCTGCTTCGAGGGAGGGCGCCATCTTGGAGAGGGGTTGCCCGGAGGCGGGCAGGAGCGAGGAAGGTTGGAGGTGACTGAAGGCGAGAGGGAGGTTGAATGAGATGTGAGATTGGTAGTAGTTGGATGTGAAATGGAGAGGTAAAGGTGAATTGAGGCCAGGCTTGGTCCGGGACCGGACTGAGGTTTGAATGAGGTGAAGTTGATTGATAAGCCGGGTTCAACTAGTGTTCTGTCGCGGGGTTAGTCATGAGATTTTGAGAAATTTGTTTAAACGGATGACTTGCCTGTTATGTTCTACTTTATTATATCCGTGGTTTGTTTCCAAGATACGGTTGTCGTACCACTTATGTTTATGTCGAATCGTTCAAGTGAGTGTTGAAGGGTGACAAAAGAAGTCGCTGTGAGTGGTGGCGAAACCGAGCCTCACGAATCCGCGGAGACGGTCGACCCCACTTAATAGAGTCACCAACCAGCGCTGAACAACAAGAGTCAGAGATGCCAAAGTTTGCTGTCATCTCATGAGGAGACAACAGAGAAACAAGTCTAACATAGAAACAGCAAAAGAGGCAAAACAAAACTCAGCATCTCATGAGGAATCATGGGAATGAGCAAAAGAAAGGTCCATCCAGGATTCGAACCTGGGCCTACGGAAGGTTCTGGGTGTGAATCAGAATCCGACGTCCTAACCAACTAGACTAATAGACCAACGAAGGCTTATTGTTTCTTGCAACGGGTGCCAGATTCCCAATCCTTGAACCGTCCAAGCGCAGTCGAGTCGATTCGAGTAAGCTCCATCAGTGCCGCGCTTGATTTCTTGCAGAAAATGCGACTGTGGTGGGCAGTGTGGCCCGCTGTCGTCGGGGCTGCAGCCTGAGGGTGGGCCCGCGTTACAGGGCCCTTCAGCGTTCCACGGGCAGCGCTGAAGTGAGGGGCAACCTTGGAAGATCTTATCGGGCGCCAAATCACCCCGCCGCTGCCCCTCGCAAAATTTCTACAATCTTTATCAGATCCGAACAGTGACTGACTGACGGACGCCGCGCCGCCGCACCACCACTACCGCACCTCGGAGGTAACTCTTTCCCCCCTCGTACGTAAGAAAGCCCTTTTCTGCTAACAAAATCGGCCCACGCCTTTCCTTCCCCCTTCTTCGCCTTACTTTCCAGCTTTGATATTTCGTCTCTTTCTTTTCCTCTGACTCTTTCTCGTTTTCCCAAGGCATAGATACCCCCATTAGACCAACAGCAAAAATGTCGCCCTCCGCCGTAGACATGCCCGAGTCCCGCGAGACCCTCGAGGCCCTCGCCGCCGCCAACGCCGCCTCCAGCGAAAAGACCACCTCGCAGACCGTCGCCGAGCTGCGCAAGACCCTCACCTCCGAGGCGAGCCCCCTGCCCATCCGCTTCCGCGCCCTCTTCTCCCTCAAGCACGTCGCCTGCAAGGACAAGAGCGCCGACGCCGAGGCCGCCATCGACGCCATCGCCGCCGGCTTCGCGTCCCCCTCGGCCCTGCTCAAGCACGAGCTCGCCTACTGCCTCGGCCAGACCGGCAACCTGTATGCGGTCGAGCCGCTGCGCGCCGTCCTGCGCGACCTGAAGGAGGACCCCATGTGCCGCCACGAGGCCGCCGAGGCGCTTGGCGCGCTGGGCGATGCGGGGCAGCTTGAGATCCTGAAGGAGTTCAGGGACCGCGAGGGCGAGGACGTGTGTATCGTCGAGACGTGCGAGATCGCTATCGATCTTATTGAGTGGCAGAACTCTGAGCAGAGGAAGCTGGAGAAGCTTCAAAAGAGGTATGGAACACAAACTACACTGGCACCACAGACGAGAGTCTTTTCTTTTTGGAAGGAAAGGGTATCATGTTGTTTTGTCTATGTTCTATGTTCGCTAACGCCGTGACCCGCGCAAAACAGCGACTTCACATCCGTAGACCCCGCGCCGCCCATGGAGATGTCGCAGCGCACCGTCCCGGAGCTCGAAAAGACCCTGATGGACGCCTCGCTGCCGTTGTTCTTGCGCTACCGCGCCATGTTCGCCCTGCGCGACCTCGCCTCGCCCCCCGACCTCCCCACCGCCGTCCCCGCCGTGCTGGCCCTGGCCAAGGGCTTCGCCGACTCCTCCGCGCTGTTCCGCCACGAGATCGCCTTCGTCTTCGGCCAGCTGTCGCACCCGGCGTCGATCCCGGCGCTGACGGAGGCGCTGAGCAACACGGAGGAGGCGAGCATGGTGCGCCACGAGGCGGCCGAGGCGCTGGGCAGCCTGGGCGACGAGGAGGGCGTCGAGGCGACGCTGCTCAAGTTCCTGCACGACAAGGAGAAGGTCGTGCGGGAGAGTGTCATTGTCGCGCTGGACATGGCCGAGTTCGAGTCGAGCGGGCAGACGGAGTACGCGTTGATTCCGGAGGGCGCCAAGGTGGCTGCTTGAGGAAGAGCACGAAAAGGGAAGCGGGAGATATATAGGTAGTTCTTTTGGGTGTCGCGGGGTGGGATATAGATCATTAGTCGGGATAAGGTACTTAAAAGCGACGGGTAAAAAGTTTAGTGCATTTCAGTTGTTATGAGACCACCTGGAAATTGTCAGCATTTTCGTTCGTCTCGCTCACTCGGGTTGCCAAAAGTTGTTTATAAGAACGGCGTACCTGAAGCCACAGTCGCAATTGAAGAAGATGGTACTGCCTTCGTCTGCACTACGGAGCTGAACGGCAGAGAAGCGGACCTCCTCTCTTCCGCACTTGGGGCATGTCTCCTTGATTGTGGCCTCGGTGCTGATGTTCTTGTCGAGGGCCTGGACGTTCGATTGGAGCTTTTGGCGGAGCTGGGAGGGGAAATCGGAAGGCTTCGTCTGGGTGATGATGGTCTTGGATCCGGTGTCTGTCAAAGTGAAGTGTCAGCTCTCAGTCGCAGAAATAAGCCAGCAATTGGCAGATCAGATCGAATGCGCCGGCGATCGACGTACCCTTGTTCTCGGCGCCGCAGCAATCGCAGATGAGCTTGTTCTTCTCAGAGCCCATGGACGCAGGCAGCAGGTTGCCGCAGTCGACGCAGAAGACGAGGGTTCCAATGGCAGACATGGTGACGGTGATTGTTACTTGTGGTGGTTGTGCTGGTTTGACGTAGTACTGCTATTCAATCTCCAAATTTGAATGAGCTCGGAAGTATTGCGCGGAAAGACCGACAAAATATTTCTGCTGGAAGATTTTCGGATCGCCTTATCGTTATCTGCTTTCTTTCCTCTCTTATCGGTTCTCTTATCGGTTGGGGAGAGACAAGACAGGCAGGACCTGGAGCCTGCCAGCTGGTGCCGGATTAACCGACACAAGACAAGGCAAGGCAAGGCAACAACCGCCCGCGCCCCTGGGGAAACAGGCAGGAACGGAACAACTGGCCACTGGCTGGGCAAAGCTTGTGCACAGACCATCCAACCGACAAGGGTCTTTCCACGCAAGGCTGTCGCAACCTTCCCACTTTCCCATCCCAATCACGACCTTGACGTCGACGTGATCGCGACTCGACATCTGTCCCGCGGAACCTGCCATTAATCGACCAAAATCACGATGCAACTGCCTATCTTCTGACGAACACCTTTTAATAGACTATTCCTTCCGCCTTCGTAAACGAAAGACCTTTCCCTTCACGTAGATGCGACCACCCTCGAGCGCGCGACTCGCCAACCGACCTTGACGTCCCACCGACTTCGATTTCTTTGACCATTCCGAGAGAACATGTCTGTATGAGAGGATCGACGTCCGAGGACACTCGTCAAAATGGTGAACAGCCAAGGGGTCATGCCTAATGGCCCTCCTAATGGCGGCTACATGCAGCCTCAGACGGAGCAGCGCCCGATGGCGCGACCTTTCACTCTCCCGGAGGCGTTGCCATTCTCGCCACAAACCTCTGTCATCCCGTTTACCTCTGGTATGTTTGGGTTTAATGCCAGGAGCTGCTGGTTCTCTATGCTCACGTAAATTAGATCTCATCCCAGATCCGACCATTGGTTCCAGCTCGCTTGCAGCGAGTGTATCACACCTCTTCAACAGCCAGGAGTTCGACAACCTCAACAAAGAGGCGACCGGACCGAACCAGAATCACGGGTTGAAACACCTGAAATATGCCGTTGATCATGTGCTCCACGACCTGAAGCCGAATCAACGGACTTACTAGTAAGTGGCTTGCAGTGTCGGGGAGACGCTTTGTATTAACCACAATGGTCCATACAGCAAGTTCAAGTCCGTACCGAAGCCGAACCTTAACTCGAATGCGAGCCCAACGGGTGGCTATCAGAGCTTGAGTGCGGGCTTATCTCCCGTGGCCAAGATGATGTTCGACAGAGCTCCGACTTTCATCAAACCGCCTCCCGGGGCTGCTGGTCTTGCACCTCCGAACGGACAGGCGGCGCCTGCTCAACCGTCGCAGCAGCCCCCGTCAACACCAAAGAGCTCTGCATCATATCCGAGACTTTCATCGATGCACCCAGACCCGCATCAAAGAAACAATGTCAAATTTGAGGTCGCGATCCCTTCTAAGAAATTCGATCCGAGCGCCTACGTAGAAGTTCCTGAGCATTCGGCACCACCACAACCCGTTCGCAAGTCGTCAAAAGAAAAGGAAGTCGCGACTCCAGCCCAGGCTCCTTCCGCGCAGCGAACACCCACACCCACACAACCTCAAAAACCTGTCAAGCTTGAGTCGGCCCAGCAGACTCCTCAGCCCGCACCTGCGCAACTTCCTGCCCAACCAGAGCAACCCGCTCAACCCACTCCTTCCCAACCTATCGCCATTCAACCTGCGCCCCCTCAACTAGCTCCTGCGTTGGCACCAAAGCAACCCACACCGCCCGGTGCGTCACGAACCCCTGGCGGCGGCGCATTCACAATCGAGCTTCCCCATGCGCCCGGTTTTAACAAGGACGAGTACCTTGAGATGGCTGTCCCGGACTCACCAGATGAGCCGACTGGCTTATCCATGCGCAAACAAGACGGCGCCTACCAAAACCGGCAAGACGAGATCAACACAAATCTGAACCAACGACAACGAGCCGAAGCCGCCTTGCAAGATTTTGAGCGTCTGACCAAGACTGTTTTCGAGGCCATTAGAAGTGTTCTCGGAAGCGAGCCTGGTTATGAGCAGATTGCGACCTTGAACAGCGACAGCGTCCCCATCCTCACGGCTTCGACCCAGCAAAAGCTTCAGACCTCGATTCAAAAGCTCATCGACCTGGGAAGCTACAAAGACGCATCCATCGACGATCTCCAAATGATCCAAAAACTGAGCGAACCGGGGCTGTCGCACGTGCTCAACCTCGATTTCAAGGTTGACGAGTCCTGGGGTGAGTCCGAAGTCTCAGGCTTTTTGAACCAGTTGCCGGACATCGAAATGGGGCTCAAGACTGCTCGTACATGTCTGCGAATCATGTGCGGCGGCAGGGAAGAGAAGCAGATCTACTCCGAAGAAATTATTCAGAAGTCGATCGATGTTTTCAAGAGTGTCGTCGAAGGCATCGTCACTCCTGTAGTTGAGATGCGCGGTTCCGGCTCAACATCTGCCCTCTTCAAGCTGTTGCAACCGTACAAGAAGGCGATCGGGCCTGTTCTGACAAACTGCCAGAAGCTGTTTGCTCTACTCGCCAAACTCGTCACATGTATCGAGCTTTCCGACACGGCTCTCGGCACCTTGGAGTTCGCCGCCTCAAGCCTCCTTTTCGTCGACAACG